ATACATGTATATGTATATATATATATATATACATGTATATATATATTCATAGTATCATAATTAAGATATGTTCGATCCAAATGTCTCCAGGAAGTACAACCAAAGAATAGAGCGTCACACAAAAAAGGAAGAAAGAATAGTAGAGAACTAGACATAGGGATATAAGTGTTACAATTACAAAATTTCTCTCAAATCATTAGCTTCTGAGAGGTTACTTTAGTGAATTACAAGAAAAAAAATAAAATATCAAATAGTATCACTTTACTGATACCGAATCTGGTGATCGTTCAGCTTAGTTGATCGTCTTCCTTAGGTTTGCACGTCGGTAATCAATCGACGATGGTGCTGATAATTGATTGATTACCTCGAGTTGTGTTGATCGTCTGGACTGTCTTTGAATGTCCTACATCTCTTTAGGTTTCTGATCGATTGGATGGTTCCGTGCATCATCGATCGGTCGATCCTCCACAGATCGCCGATTGTTCTTTGATTGTAGTATTTTTTGAGGTCCATGTTATGTTGTTAGTCGATCGTTCAATCTTCTAAAGATCATCCTATGTTCCGGCTATTGGATTGCTTTAAGATTTATGTCATTGTATTTTTTGTATACATATTAGTTCCTCGATTCACTTATTTCTCGAAAGTTGTGCAACACAAAAGAACACGAGAATCTTCTTACTAATACAAAGATACAAGTACAGAGTTGAATATCATAATTACTTAATAAATGAATCTCATGGATTTCCATGCCCATGCTACTGTAAATAAGTCATAGAGTAACAGAGGATTGCACGCAATTTTCTCTCTCCTTCTTTCTTTCCTCTGTCTCAATTCACCACAATGTCTAGCGAGGAACTTTAACTGCTGACAATGATGCACTCCTCAAGGCCCTCAAAGTCTTTTGGGCTAAAGCCTAGAAGCTAGACGTGAAGCAAAAATAGGCCGAGGAGGCTCCTGTTGAAGAAACAAGCAAGATAAAGGTTATGAAGAGGTCAAAAAGCTGACGATCGTAAGGAACAGATTGGATTCTTTGATTCCCTTATAGGCTTGTTACAATAACAAGTTCTGGAAAAAAACAAGGGTTAGTTTGATGATCGTCCATCCATTGATATTGGACGTTCTCGTCAGAGGACAGGTAATGCTCGTTTATACTATTGCGAAGCCAACAAGTTCTCAGACTGGTGTGGATAAGGTGATGATCGGAATAGAATTCTTGATCCATCTGTTGAAGGACGACCTTCCATTTGTGGGTGGAGAGCCAAGAAAAATCGGTGAGGGCGTTAACATTATCACCATTTCTAAACGAAACCGGATTGTTGGTATGGGATTTTAATTCGTCAGCCTTAAATACTTGTATTTCTTTTTTGGCATACCATAAAGGTCTTGATTATCAATTCCCTTTCATCAGACCCTGATTTTGATCATGCGAAGGATGCAGATGCTATGGACCAAAGGAAGAACGAGGGGAACCCTCCTCACGGTGAGGGCAAAATCTTGGATCGCCAAGGCATTCCCAGCATAGTGAGAGATGAGAAGGTAACTGAGCGACATCGGGAATCCTCTGATTCCTTAATGCACCGCCTTGTAGATATGGAGGAATACTTTGCACGTACCATGGGATATCCTTGAGGGGATGGTGATCCAGGAATCGTCAAAGCTATGATGAGAATTGATTGGGTAGAGAAAGAGATAATCATTTTGCGTAAGGAATTTTTTGCCTTCCGAGGGAGATGGTTGCTACTCAAGAGGAGACGGTGGACCAATGTTTGGAGGTGTCAGCCACTAGAGGGGGCCCTTCTACTCAGACAAGGACTAATTAGACTGAGTAGTTTAAGTTTGGTGGAGAGTTCATGTATGAGAGGCTACTTTACTGAGGGTTTATCTTGAGTGAATTGACAGTTGATTGTATAGTTATGTTTTTTCTCTTGGTGTAATTTTTGAAGGTTTTACGTAATGTACATTTTGAAAATTAAATTATATATATATA